ACTATATCAAGTGTATGATAATGAAGATTTGTTTTAAGTTGCTTAGTTTTTGGTAATTCCCATTTTTCATATTGATTTTTACTTAATAAAATATATTTATTATGATTTTTTTCTGTAATTATTAATGATATTATATAACGATTAGGACCAAAGTTTTCTAATAGACTTTGACCAATTAAACCTGTACGTCCATAAGGATTTTTAACATTTCTATTTTCATTTGAATTGGAATTTTTTAATGAAAATTTTATTGGATGATAATTAGGAAAGAATATATTCCATGATGAATATTCTGAAGGTACATGTTGACGTTGAGATTGAATAGAATTTATAAATATTTCTATAGAAGATTTATTATTATTATTATGAAATAGTAATAAAGAATTTTTTCGACAAAAATAATTTTCATATTGATTTGAATTAAATATTTGCCATTGAAATAAATTTGAATCAAATATATTTAATTGAAAATATTTTTTAGACAATTTCGATAGTTTTTTATTTAATAATGAATTAAAATTTATTTGAAAATATTCATTAAAACATTTTGGTACAGTTGGAAATGATGAATATTTTAAATGATTTTTATTATGTAATGTTATTGAATGAGATTTTTTAAGTTTATTTTCATAAGAAAAATATTTTGATTGAGATTTAGGATTTGTTTTAGATTTTACTAATATTTTCGATGTTGATTCAATACTTGTTTCAATATTTGTATTAATATCTTTTATTAATTGATTAATTGTTATTTGTGATGACAAATGATGTTCATTTTTAGATTTTATTACTAGAAAAAGAAAATTTCTATAGAAAAACTTGTTTGGTTTCTTTTGTCTTCGTTCTATCATTACATTTATTGTCAATTAATATTGATTTTTCATTTGATTGATGATGTGGCGTAGAAAGTTTTTCGATTAACATTTCTTCATTCATTAATTTCTATTATAGAAAATTATTATTGTATTAGATGAGAGATGATAAGCGTTGTTATTTACCAGTTTTTTACTTGGAGAATAATTTACATCGATAGATGATGATGATGATGATGAGAAAGGTACAAAAGAATCATTATTCTGTAGTTTAGAAAAGAGATATATGTGACTAAATAATAAAATTTTATTTATGATATTAAAATAAGCATGAACATGCCTGATGATGAATAAGAGATTTTTTTATTGAATTTGATATTATATGATTTGAAAACGATGAAGTTTTAGACATTAATTGATCTTCTTCATGCATTATCTATGGAATTAGACTTATTCTTTTTTGTTTTTAAGACATAAATTTCGTTGTCTTTCTACAGAAAAATAATAAGGCATCAGAGTTAGAGACATGCGGAACAGAGGTTTTTTTTTTATCTCAGTCTCGGTAAATCTGGTGTAGCTTTGGTACCAGTGATTTTAGTTTTTTGAGTTTCGGTCTCGAGAAAACTATCCCAAAATTTATTTGTATCAAGTCTTAAAAAGTCTTTCAATAACCGTTTTTTTTAATATTTATTTAGTTGACGACTAGCACTTTTTTGGGTCATCTCTTTTGATCTATGTTCTGATTCCAATGATTTATAAAAATAGTTTGCTTAAAATCATAGATTTATTGTTACGATAAACTTGAGTTTCGGTTGCCGGCAGCTCGAGTCATGAGTAAATAGCTAATAGTGAATAATTGTATGCGTTTGTAGAGATATATTTTGATTTTCTACGAAGAAATCTATTTGTAAATGACGATAATATCGTATAGGTATTTGAATTCAACTATATAAGAAAAATGTTCAAGAGTTTTTCTGTATATTTCCTTGAAAATCTATAAATAATCAACATAATTGCTTTTTTTTAAGTCTAAAATTGATTTTTAGTTAGTTACATTCATAGATACAAATCTTTTTTATTCCATCGGATCTCAGCATCATAAGGGAAGACAGATCTGAAGTTTTGTTTGCTCATACTTCACTATGAATATATGTCAACAGAACTATTCACATCCCGTTTGCTTGAGCAGACATTGAGTTATGACGAATGGTATACATTTTTGGTTTGAGCTTTATAACTCTTGAGGGGGAAGAATGTTGTGGATTGACAGATCTAGCAGTTATATAGCACTATATTTCAGTTATATATCATACAAATTTCGTAGAAGTTCATCGATCTCTGCAAGAATTGTCGTCATTTTTCTCTGAACAGAAATGTGGAAATAGCCAATAACTCATGAGAGAACACTCCCAACTATTCAATCGTTTTTTGCTTGAGACTATTGCCATTTGATGGCCATGGTGAATAATGAAAAAGTCTGTTTTGGGTTAGTTTTCCAATTTTTACTTGTTCAATTAGGATCGTTTTATTCGCTTTTTGGTTCTTGAACCTTGGACCACTGGTAATCTGAATAAACAAGTTTCGAAATGAAATGTTGTCTATCAATACATTTTATAGTAATTAGATACTTCTCAAAGCTGGAGACAGAATGAACGCATTCCTTATTGAGATATCCATTTATAATGAAAATAGTCTTGTTTCGAAATACAGTTCAAAATAGAAGTGTATTTAACATGTGAATATTTTCGGTGAGGATGAGTTCATTTTGACTTCAACTTCTGGTAACTTGCTAATGATTAAAAAGTCTCTCTAGAGACAAAACTTCAGCTCAAAATTCATTCACTAAAGTACTCTACAACCCGATGCTTATAGACGAAAAAACGAGTAAAGCGTCCCTAATTTAATAAGTGAAGATTGAAAACCCAAAACAGACTTTTTCATTATTCGTCATGACTGATTGCATGGCAATAGCCCCAAGCGAAAAGTGATTCGACAGTTGGAACTATTCTGTTGTCAGTAATAACTCAATACGTTGATCTAAAACTTTTATTGAGATGCTCTTCATATGTTGATATTGATTTCCGCAATTCTCAGAATCAAATATTATACTAGAGAGAAATGACATACGGATGATCATTTCGTTAGTGTCAAGGATCCGGAGACATTAATATTTGAGCAAATGAAGTTATCTTTTGCATGAAGAAAAATCCTAGATTGTGCTTAGATTTTATATTAAAATATTCAGCATTAATCATGTATTTGATAGAGTAACAAGACAAACCTTAGCGTAGGCGGTCTTTTAAAGTTATGAATATTACAGTCAAAAGAAAATATATTCCATCCATTAGAACTCGGTTTCCACTCAAGTAAGCAAGATCCGGATGATGTCGCTGACTGACATGTTTGATGGAGTTATGTGTATACAAATTTTCAGACTTCTACACATTATGGTTGTCAAGACTCGAACGAGAAAAGACTTTTTTTCAGTACTGTAAATGGGATAATAGACTTTATTACTCTTAGAAGAAGTCGATTTTAGTAAGACCTTTTCTATGAAAGTCTACGTATCATAACGTGTTAGTTGTTTTCAAACTTAAATTTATTCTTGTGTTTTTACTTAAAGTAGCAAAGAATTTTTTGTAACTAAAACAAAGAAATATTTTGAAAATATCCTCAAAACACTGACATAACTTTACTTTAAAAAACATTTTTCGTTTTGTTTTATCAACATTGATGAAAATTATAATATAACGCGATGTTGGCAACGCTTTCTCAAATATTATTTCCGTAAACACTAGCCCCCATCATTTCCGATGTACTTGATTATGTAAAACATTCAACTGAGATTGCAGTTATTCTAGTTATGAACTATATATAGTACAAAAAGAAAAAAAAAAGGAAGTCTAATGTTAAACATGATTAGTTCCATCTTACAAAATTCTTTTCTTTTCTTAATAGAAGCATAAACCATGATCAATATCTTTTTTATTTTCATTATTAATAAACAGAATCTTGTTCATAACCCATCACAATTAGAAAACTATCGATAGTAGAATCTGTCTAGTACAAAATGTTCGGACCAGAATTCAATTTATTGAAATTTTTGAGATTCATAGTCGGTTTATTGAGATCTTTTATACTGGGACCGATCGAACGGATTCTAGTCAATAGAGCAATACAATAGAATTTCTCTTAAAAAAAGAATATTATCTATATTCGTTTAACTCACATCATCAATTAATGTAATTGGTTCGATAATATTACTATCGTTCGATGATCTTCGACTAAATCGAGTTTTTGGTGGACTTGGTAAATGGCGAAGAAGACTTTCATATGATCGATGTGATGATAAGATTTTCTAATTAAAGTTAAATACTTATTTTATATAATAATTTCACTAGAATAAAACCTTAATAGGCTCTAATAATTTTTCATTTTCGAAATTTTTTCTTGATGAATTTTCTTTATAATTTAATGAAAAATTATTATGAAAACATAATGGAATATCATATAGTGGAGAATGATTTTGTTTAAGTGAATTATTTTTATTAATATCATCTTTCCATATATCTATTGATGATAAAATAGCATTATAATTTTTTTCATCTCTATATTGAATATTTGAATTAATTGAATAATTTAATGTTGGAATTTGATGAAAACATTTCAATGCAAATAAACAACATAAATGACAAGTATTAGGTTGTTTATTTATTTTATATTGTTCAATAAATGAAGATAAATTGATATCATATGTATGATTATATTGATGTTTATTTTCGGACACGAGTATTTCATTATTAAGATTAGATAGATTCATCAATGTCAAAAAAACACAAAGAAAAAAAAAAAAAAAAACTTTAGTCGAATTAAAAATATAATCCCGCTTTATTTTCTTTTTGTTTTAGGACAATTAACTCCAAGTAATTTGACAGCCTATGTTGTTAATGCTCATACATTAAGTGTTACATGGGATTTACCGTCAAATGTAAATGCTATAGATAAAATTTATATAACTGTAATTGAACTTGGTCAAACAAATCGAACTATACAATTACAATCATTTGATAATACAATTAAAAAATTCGATATTCAAGTTGATGCTAATGATCCATTTGGTATATGAATAGAATTGTTTTTTTTTTCTTGTTTTATTTCAATAAATATTTCTTTTTCTTTTTTGATTATCTAAGGTATTCATCCAAATCGAACTGTCTATTTTGCTGCTCGATGTTCTGATCGTAATGGACAAAATTCATCAATAATCGAATATCAACTTTATGTCAATATGCTCAGTAAGTTTAGATGCATAAAACACATATATTTTATTTCTTTTTTTTTTCCTACATTATTCAATGTTTTAAACTTCTTAAAATATGCAAAGATTCAATGAGAAAGAACAAAGACATTTTTCTCCTTCGCTTTTCTTGCTGTGTGATGTTGACAGAACGACATCCTGTTGTAAAAGCATGCGTGCTCGCACATACACATACACTCTCGAATGAGTGGCAGCCATTATTATATTTGATTTATGTCACACGGAAAAGAAGGATGATCGATTGACATATATAGAGAGAAAAAGAAGAAAAAAACTCGAAGGTCTTTTGATAGAGTAAGAGAATTTTTGTGCGTGTCTGTGTGTGTTTTTTTTATATCTGAATGTTCAATTAAATGTTGAATTTGATAAAGCAAATGGGCCAACATCTATTTTGTCATAAATCAGATCATGTGCATGACTAAGGCTTCATATTACATCTATGCGCATACATAAATACGCATGCGACTCAATTCGACTTCATCAACCTCTTATATTCGAGATTTCTTTTTTGATGCTGTTCCCATTCTTTGCCGTTCTTTTCTTTCTCCTATGAAGCGAACATACACATACACACATTTCTTTTTTGTTTGCATCTTCTGAGTAGACAAAAAAAGGCAATAGAAGCAGTAGCAATAGATATCTCTCTTTTTTTTTTTCTCTTCGTCCTATCCTTTTTCTCTCTATGGCATTAACTGCCTCGAAAAGAAGAAAGAATCAAGTTAGTAGAGAAATACAGAACGAGCGAGAACGTTCAACCAAAGAAAGTTTCTTTTCTTGACATTACACAGATGTAAAATTTGATCGTTTTTTCTTCCTAACTTCCCTATCTTAATGTGGTTATTATTAAAACAAGAAAAAGAAACGTAAAAAAACGAAGAATAAGAATAAGAAAGAACTTATCAATGGGTCTTTCATCATAGATTATTGTATTAAAACTAAAGAATAGGAACAACTAACGTCTATTATATAATGACGCAGACTACAATAATACAAAACCAATCATCATTTTAATACTTTACTTCATGTTTCATCACATTCTTATACTTTTACTTCTTTTCCTAAATTATCGTCCAATATTCAATACTACAGCACCTCCAAATATACATTATGCTCAAGTACCTCGTTCATCAACTTGTAAGATAAAATAAAACTTTCACATTTTCTTTTTGTTACTTAGAAATATTTTATATAATTTATTTTCACTTATAAATATATATATATATATATATATATGAATTTAGATCCATCGCCACGTGATATTCGTGTTGTTCGTATAAATGATACAACAATTCAAGTTTTTTGGTCACTAATATATCATCCATCTGTTGAACGATATATTGTTCATTATAATGATAAAGCTGAAAATAAACCTGAAAATCAATGGTCATTATTTTCACCAACCAATCCAGGTTCAACATCGGCAATCATAAGTGGCTTAAAACCTGATGCTATGTATAATGTTCGTGTTAGCGCCGAATTTTCTTCTGCAAGTCTTTATGATCCATCATATGCATCGGGAACAACACGACGTGAAGGGGATTTATCTGAGATTCATGTTGCTGATATATACCATCGTAAGTCTTCCTTTTTGTCTTTTTTGTCTTTATCAAAAAAGAAATTTTCCTTTTTTTTTTGCTATTGCGTGACAAGCAAAAAAAATTTCTTTTGCTTCATGTCATTTCATTTTTGTCGTCTCAATTAAATCTGAACGTAGAAATCTTAGACATCAATATTAGTTGAATGATTTTTAAGAGTACGAAGTAGAAGATGAAGAAAACGTAAGAAATTATTCATCACGCCTTTAAGAAAAAAATTCCATTGACTTAAGACTTTTCTTTTTGTTTTATCAAGGTCAAAAAAAAAGAAGAACAAAGAAAATGAGAAGTTCGTCTTTTGTTTTTTTTTTTTTTTTCTTTTGTGGTCTGATCTTAATTGATGTTATATGCATTCCGAACAGCAAGAGATAAGTATAAGCACATGTCTTGCGTGATAAATTCTTCATGCACAAATTCTTTTTAATGATCTTCGTCTGGTGTTCGACGTGATGATGTGCCTATCATGTAATCATTGGTCTGTAAAATGATCTATTTCGACTGACCATTATCATATAATAATCACTATCAATCAAAAACTGAACTTAAAAAAAGAAAAAAGAATCGATTAAGTGAATGAGCAATCTTACGGAAAATATTCGTGTTTAATCATCAATTCTATTAGTTTGTCCATGGAGATCAATAATCAACTGTGTAGATTTTTATCTCTTGAGAATAAGACAACACAAAAAAAGACATGAACAAACGAAGAATTTTCTTTTAATATTAAATATAATAAAAACAAAGGGCTAGAATTAGTATTTTGTATTTCGATAATTTGAAATATTGCACAATCATTATCGTCATGCAATAATAGATAGATCTATTTAAGATTTTTCTTTTTAGAAAAAAATCTTCTAATAATTCTATGCTTATTGATGTATACATTAGGGAATTTTAAATAATTAAACAACAGATAGTTGATGTAATATAATGTTCAATTCGAGTTTTATTAAAATTTCTAATCGAGATTATATTCAGAATTTTTAATAAAAACTAAGTATAGAAGTGCAATGAACATCTCTGCTTGTTCTGTACATTTTTCTTTTCATTTGCGTCTTATTGTTTTGAGAAATGAACACATTTGAACTATAGGCTCGATAGGATGTTTCATATAACAAGTGATTTCTATAGTTATTTTTCTTTAATTTAAATGAACTATTTTATGTTTTCTTTTTTATAGGTACAAAAGAAATCATTCAATATGATGATCAATTAAGTCGACCATATAATCTGACTTATGTTGATCTAACAGCTAATAGTGTTAAATTATTATTTTTCTTTAATGAAACTAATCTTGATCCACGTCGACACATACAAAAACTTGAAGTTTGTTAATCACAATAAAATTTAAACATTTTCTATAACTTCTGGTTTTGTTTTTGTTTAATAGGTACATTATGAAGGCATACAAAATTATGTCGACGGTTTAGGTACAGTACGTTCTACTTCACATCATAATTTAGCTGGTCTTATATCAATTCCATCAACACAAGGTGCACGTGAATGGCTTGTTACTGGTCTTGTGCCAAATACTCAATATACATTTAATTTAACTGGAACAATATCATCATCTGAACAATCATCAATTAAAATTTATAGTCGTCCAGCAACAATACGTTTTTCAACTGATTATGACGCACCACCATATGTTGATCGACCTGAACAAGATCGACGAATTCTAACTAAAACAAATACTTTATCATCAATTCCACAACAAGCTTATTTACGTCTTCATCGTGCATCAACAAAAAATGGACCTATTGATCGATATTATATTGTTGTTCATCTTATTGAACATATTTCATATCGATCATATGTACCACAAGAGGTAAAAAAAAGAAAAAAGATTTGCTTTTTTTTGTGAAACATACTCTAAAAGGAGTGTTGAAGATTTGCATTCTTCAATAAATCGTGGTAAATACTAGCTAGTAGAGCCTGTTGGATAGAATCCATCGGATCCGGGTCTAAAGCAATTTTTGATGCATAGGAGAATATTTCTCGAAGTTTTACTAATCTTCAGTTTTCTCTGAAGAGTTAGTTGCTTTTGGTTGTTAGTGTTGAAAATAAATTGTTGGTGTTCAATAGAACACGTTGCTTTGGTCTCAGATACAGACGAGATCAGGTCCAAGTAAGGTTCGGGTTCAAAAATTTTCCATTTACCGGGTCCGGTTCTGAAATTCTTTTTAAAGACCGGTTAAGCGTCCAAGAAAAGTTCAACAAAGCGGACCCGGGTACGAGTCCGGGTCCAAAACTGTTGTACCCGACGAGCTCTACTGTTGGACCCAAAATTTACGAACCCTACTTTAATATTATCAATGAAATTTTCTAATCAAAATTGAGTAATCACCCAGAAGATACGAAATTCTTTTTTTTCTGGTTTTCTTTATTCGATGACTAGAGTCTATCAGGTCCCAAAACTTCCAGACTCAGACTCGACTAGATCTAGTTTCGAGAACAATCCGACGGATTCTACCAGCCAAAGACCATCACAAATCATACATCAATAACGTCCTATTCTAATATACGAACTACTTTCTTATGGCATTTCTGAAGAATTAAGTAAAAGATTGATGAAGATATATGTCTCAACATAGATAGACTAAAATAATCTCCTTGTGATTATGAATAGCAGTTACATTGCGTTTTACATTTTAATCTCACGGGGATTGTATTAACAGATTTTCTACAAAAAAACAACTTATTTTGTTTTTTTCTTTTGAATATATAGGGTCGTCGTGAATGTTGTTATACAGCAGCAGTATTTAATGAATCTCAATTGCCAGAAATATATATATTAGGTGATGGTAAAGAAACACGTGATTGGGAACCATTTCATGGACGTGTTTATAATAATTCACCATTAATAAATGCATGTAAAGTTAAATTAGTATCATGGGGTTTTAATCG